GTGATTCCTTTATTTTTGAAATGAACTTTTACATAAAGGTTGCGTTCCTTTTAGCTAACCTTTCTTAGATTTTGACAATCCGGATTGTTAAGATTTTCTTCAAAGCCGGAGCAAAAATCTGAAAAGAGATGGATCCGTACAGCCAACAGCTGTACTTCTATCAAGATAGCGGGTTTTTGTAGATTATCTCTAGCCTTTTACCCCCGTGCTGGAAGAAAATCCAGAAACAAGGGAAATAATCTTCAAGATGGATGACTTGCTCATTTTTATGCTGCTTGAAAGCATGAGAAAATGTATATAAATGTTGCAGTTCGGACGAATGCTTACGCTGTACGAACAAAAACATTTGTGACGTTTACAAAATTTACAATGGGAATTTCCAACTTTTTCGTCCAATTTTTGACACTCAAGTTCTACCTCCACAACCTTAAAGATCTCTGGAGGAATGAAACAGTGGTCGAGAACCTGGGCTGACTTGAAAATTCACGTCTGAACCACCATGTGTAACGTGAGTGTCGGCCACGAGCTTTGTGAGTACTATCGGGATCCAGGGTGGTCCAGCTAAAAGAAACGAACTTCTGAAACTAGGTTGAGGTACCAATCCGAACGATCCAAGTTCGGAGGTAGATCGTTCAAATTGCAATCGTAGATTCGTTTGGTCCTCTATGGAACAGTAAATCGAATTTTGGATCGCAAAATCTGGATTTTGATTTGCTGAAAGGAGTGCTACCCAAGATTTTGTGAAGTTTGGGAGAAAATCTCTACGTATACTTCAAGGCCACCCTTACTCTTTATTATGAGCTAGGCTGTGAGTACAGAAACTTTTAAAGCTATAAAAAAAATTAGTTTTGAAAAGATGAATCATGATGAGATGACTGCAGTCCATTAAAAGTAAAATAGAGCGAAGGGAGTTCATGGTACTTTAACATGAGGTAAAGACACATGAAACTGGGATTAAATGTTGTTTGCTGGGTCTTCCGCTCGGGATTTCCCTCTTTGATCCCGAAGAAAAAAATGGATTGCCGGAAGCCGGCCAAGATACCTGCGAACTTCACGACTTTTTTTATCCATTGTGAGACGAAAGTTACAACAAAAGAGTTGTAAAATATCTCCAAGAATAAAAGAAGAAAAAAGAAGAAAGAAGGAAAGATAGAAAGAAAAACGAAAGAAAGGTAAACAGACCGAATGAATAAAGCGAAAGAAGAAGACTGGGGCGAGGTTCGAGAATCTCATCATGTCATTTTTTTGTAACGAAAATTTGTAAGTCATTTTCCAGTAAATATGAACCGATATCACCCTCGTTATTTTTTTTATCTCTTTTTGTAGATCTTATCCTTCTTGCTCCGTATAAAATGCAGACATATACAACCAATTTGGTCGACAATGCATATTTATTAAATGCTGATAGTTTCGAAAGAAACTGTTTGGGGCTGCGTCGGTGGGGGTAACGAAATAATTTGGAT